AAGATACACACCACAGACATTTGCATAAATACTGATATTAAAGTCTAGTTTTAAAACTGGGAATCCACTACAGATAAAATGAATTATAAGAACTCTTAAACAACTATGTCAAAAGGACAAGATCCTTAAATTCATTTTCAGCTTTCTTTGATTATATAGTGAAAACTCCAGAACTGTGCCTTCATATCTTAGTTTTCCCACATCTTATACTTTTTGCAGTGCCATTAAATTTCTTAGGCTGTTTCGTTTATGCAAACACGTCAGAATTTTCACACCTCTGTAACAACTTCTGAACGACCCAAGCTGGGTTAACCGCATGCTTCCTGCACCTCAGGATCCTCTCCCTACTCTAGCAGCTGTAATAGGAAGCCCTTGGACTGGTAGCAAGCAGACCCAGGTTCCAGTGTGGGCAACGCCACCTGTTCTGGGATAAGATTCCTAACCTTTCTGAGCCTGTTTTCTAATCTATAAAATGGAAATAGCCAGTAGACTCTACCTATGTGTAGCGCACTCAGTGCATGGCCTGGCATCTATAACACGTTGAGATAAGTAGCATCACTGCCTCTCCTGTAAGTAGAGAACTGGGTGAGGAAATTTGGAAGTCTTGGTCTCTTTGGTGATGGTCCCACAGAGTATTCAGCACAAAGGTTAAGACAGTCTGTTTTCAGCCGGGACAAAATTCAGTAGAGGACTAGGGGAAAAGATACTGCAGAAGAATAAACCCAAAGACTTCAGCACAGCTAGAGGGCATGACTCAGGTCCCTGGAATCAGCGGGGGGCTGCTCATTGGAGAGAGGCAGAACACCCCCTTCCCTCACTATGAAGCCACCACTCAGATCTGATCATTGCTACCAAAGGAAATCTCCATGGGTTCCTTAACCAAGCTTTGTTCAATTGCTTTTTATTTTCCTGAGGCCAGGGAGAGGACCCTGGCAAAGAGATGCTATACTCAGGTTATCTTCATCAGCCACTCCAGAGAGAAGTTAGGTAGCTAAGTTCATTTAACGCTAAACCGTACAGAACACTTCTAAAGACTGGGAATCCAGGAGAGGGGTTAAATATGTGAGAAAAGCTGTTTATTGTATGCATATTCAGAGAGTTTCTAATGAACAACTCACTCCTTGAACTTCTAGAGCAGCGCTGTGCAACAAAAATATAATTTGAGCCACAAATGCAAGCCAAAGATGTAATTTTACACTTTCTAGTAGCCACATTTAAAAAAGTAAAAAGGTGAAATTGATTTTAACAATATTTTTATTTAACCCAATATATCCAAAATATCCTTTCAACATGTAATCAATATAAAAATTAGTGAGGAAATTTACACTCTTTTTGTCATCTTTGAAATCTCAATTCAGACTTGTCACATTTCAAGTATTCAATAGCCACAAGCAGCAACCATATTGAACAGCGCAGTTCTAGAGTCATAGACACTAACTTTTTTTTAAGAATGAATAATCTTTTAATTTTGACACTTTAACTGATTTTAACCCCAATAAATTGAATAAAAGGGCTCTAAATTTTTTTTCAAAAAAAAGGAAATTTTATGAATCTAAAAGAAACCTAACAGAATAGTGTGAATAAAGTTGATGATTTTAGTCATAGCATTGGACTAAGTCTCCTAATACAAAAAAGAATGGTAAATTCTAAGTTTGATCAGAGTTGCTAAGTGGTTTTCTAAGACTTTCTCTGGCAATACAATAATATTTTCTTCTAACTGTTCCTGAAAACACATGATGCTAACCAGTAGATATGTTAACAGGACATATAAGGAATAAAGAAACAAAGTTAACACCAACACGAGGAAATAATCTGATAAATCCAGAATGTGGGACACACAATCAGTGATCTGATCATTCTCAAAGAAAAAAGGGGGGTAAGGGACTGATTTAGATTAAGACAGAATAGACAGATACGATAAGCAAAAGCAATACATGAACCACGATTGGATTCTAGGGCATTTTGGGGACAACTTGGAAAATTTTAACATGGCCTAGCTATTAGATGCTATTAGGGTCTTACTGTTAATTTTCCCAAGTGGAATGGCATTGGACTTGGGTAGGAGAAAGTCCTTATTTTTAGGAGAGGCATGGTCAGTATTTAGGGATGAGGTGTTCACCATGTTTGCAACTTATTTGGAAACGTTCAGCAAAGGGAAAAAAAATCTATATAAAGCAAATATGGTAAAATGTTAACAGTTCTTGAATCTAAGTGATATCTATACAGGGCTTCATTACACTATTCTTTCAACTTTTTGTGTGCTTGTTGTGTTTACTGTGTTTATTTGAACATCCTCGTCATAGACGGGAAAAAGGAGAGACAATTCCAGATTAAAAGAGAGACATAATAACAGAATGTGCTGTACGAACCTTGATTCAATCCTAAGAAACAGCTGAAAAAAGACATTTTGGGGACAACTAAAAAAATCAGAAAATGGAGTAGACATTACATGATATTAAGGAATGACTGTTAATTTCAATAATGGTATTATGGTTATGCAGGAGAATATCCTCACTCTTGGGAGATGAGATGCTTGCTGAAGTAGATAGGGATGAAGTTAATGTCTACAACTTTCTTTAAAATGGTTTAGCAAAACCCAAAAATTTTACATAAAGGCATAGAGACCCTCTACCTGTCTAGCTAGCTAAAGCCAATGTGACAAAATGATAATAACTATTAACCTACAAGATATGTTTATGGGTGATCATTCTACTATTCTTTCAGCTTTTTTGTATGTTTAGAAAGTCTCCTAATAGTTTTTTAAAATTAAAGCTAAAAATAAAAAGGGTGTATCAATACTCCATTTTTCTAAATTTCAGCAAATAGGACAAAACCACAAATCAAAACTGCCTACACTTTTCCCCATGTAGATTCTTGTACTAAAAAAGGACCAGCACAGATGTAACATGTCTTTCTTTCTGTGCCCTTTCTGGCGCCATGCATATATAATAGACATTAAACTGGCCTTGCTGGAGATCTTCAATGTGCTGAGTACAGGAAAAAAAGATGGGCCCTATTTTCAAGGAGCTCAAAATAGTATGGTGTAAAATAGTCCAAATTCTTATTTCTCAACCAAATTTTCCATTTTAGTTTGGTTTCTGAAGTTTTATTTCTAGAGATAAGGTCTCAAATCTGCCTAACATGGTGTTTCTCAACATTTAGAAAGCCACAGATCCCTCTGATAAACAGTAACTCTCTCATACCACTAACAACAATCACTGACTGCCTCCCATTTATCTTACCCGTACTACTAAAATAAAACTGATTTATATTATACTACAAAAAACTGAAAGATTTCTCTGTGGCCAGGGCCTTATTAAGCTTTCCTAAGAAATAAACTCAAGAAGGAAGCTTTAACAATATTTTTATTCTGATGAGATTCGCAATACCTGGCCAATGGGTAATAACTCACTCCTATGCTGTATATGCAAAAAGAATCCATCAGAAGGTCCAACTGACATTTTATACGATTTACAAAATGACCCAATGGTATTAACTTTCAGCCTCTGTCACTATTGACTACCTTGAACTGATGACTGAAACATAAAAGGCTTTGCAGCTCACTACTTCACAATCATTTATTGCTATCAGTTATCCATATTGTCCCACAAGAGGGGAAATTTTATTTTCTATTTCACAAGTACTTCTATCTAGAGTGAAGTTGGAGGCTTTTTGTTTGTTTTAGTAGTGGGAAAGCATTTGCATGTAATGTATAAAGACAAAAGAGGATTCCCTAGGGAAAGAGAGCAACAAAAACAATAGTGAGAAAGAAAATCAAAACATCAGAGACAAATGATTTACATAGTTGATGTGCACCTGATTATCACTGAACAAAAAAATAATTGAGAAATGTATTCTTTAGTTTCAATTATTTCTGCCATATCAGTACATTCTGAGAATAAAGATAAAATCCCATAAAATTGAGTTCTCTATTAAAAGTGTAAGTTAACGACATTTTATAGCATTTCAGAGGGAAAAAAACATGCCAGGCTGCTGAGTGTTATTCGAAGGTGCAAATTTGTTTATTTGTCAAATGTTGTAAACAACCCTCCTTTGCAAATATTATATTTTTATCACCAGGTCTGGTAACTAAAGCTGAGGAACTATTTAATATGAAGGGTGTCGACCAGAGTTTTAAGTGTGCTTTCCAGAGAGAAGAAAAAATGCAAGAGGTAAACAGAGCCCCAGAGGTAACCATGTGATTAGAAACCAATTAAGTTAAGCAATTACTGAAACTGCTTTCTCTCCTTTGGGCAAGAAAGGATCAGAAGTGAGACTCTGATACAAAAATGAAAAATGCTTACATGCAAAAATGCCAAGGCTGATTTGGAGGAAGACTATTTTTAAGATAGCAGAAGTATTCCATGGTAAAATGTGCACAGGGGTGTTTGATCAATGTAGGTGGAGAATTTATAGTGCCAAACGACGGTTTTAGACATAAACAGATGTTTTCATGGTTAAGTTTAGTTAGTATTCACAGTAAAACAGGGGGAAAAACAGAACTAGGTAAGAGTAGGGAAGAAAATCACCACTAGGGCCTATTTGGTTTTCAAGAGCTATTTCATGTTTCCTTACTACATTTTAGAGGTCTACGAAACACTATTAATGTATACCATTCAGAACTACAAAACTCCTCCCAACTCTAATGTCAGCATGTATTACTTAAGTTAATTTTTAAAGAGAGCTAGCCTGACCCAGTTCAGATTTAATTACTTTGTGAAAAGAAAAGCTAAAGCAAACTTGTAATATCTTGAGTTAAATACTTAAGCTTCAACTTTAAAAGTACTTTTAAAATGAAACTACTCTACTACCTACCTGGTTCATCTTTCACCCACAAAACGTGTTTTAAAAAACCTAAATGCACAAGCTATGACAAATCAGACTTCTTATAAACTATCCATTCTCTTTTTGCTCCTGACCAAGCCTGGAAATCTGATCTATAAAGACATACTGCCTTAACTAAATGATGAGTCCTGTCTATTGCTTTCAAATGCACCAACCTTCTCAAAAACACTGGATGGGGTCATCAAACAAAACCTGATGTTCTGAATGATGGTATCGGTATGTCTCCAGCGTCTTCTATCATGCCGCAGCCAAGACTGCACAGCCTCGTACAGCTCTATCTCTGGGAACCTGCTCAGATGATCATTATCCAAATAAGACATGAGCTTCTCGAAGCTCAGATAAGACAAGAAGTCAGGCCTGGACATGAGCGGAACAAAGTTGTCCAGCAGAAAGGCGTCCAACTTCTCCCTGACTCCCTCGATGTTTACACCGAAATCATCTAAGAGTCTCATAATTTCTGCACAGTTCTCTAAGCAAATTTTTGCTAATAGAAAAGAGCAGCAGAACTTCACCACTTCTATAAGTTGAACATACATGGCAGCCTGAAGAATCTCATGAACAGTATTCATACTCAGTTCTATAGTTCCATAGTACATAAACTGAAGGACGTGGCTGAAACCAGTAGCAGTTAGACCTTTTAAATGAATTTTGTCCTGATCTCGCTCCCTCATGTCTGCAGTAAACATAATTCTGAAGTAATCACTCTGGGTGGCCAAGAGTGCTTTATGGGCCTGGAACTGATGATCTTCAATAACCAGAGTGACATCAAGAAGCAATCCCTCCTCATACAGTGCTCTGAAACCAGCAGAGACACTGGTATCATGGATGGAGGAACAGAATCCTTCCACGTCCCCTGCCATGAATCACCTGGAAAAGAAGTAATCAAAGAAAACTGTGTTAATCATTTCCATGCATTCTGAAGACGTTATTAACTTAGAGCTTAAACAATTTTTATAATTATCTCAATTCCACTGCCTAAGTCCGAAATGTACAAGCCTTTTGGGAGAAGACAACCTAACAGTTTGCAGGTTAACGTTTTTGGCCTTCCCACCTGGGGAAAAAATCTATTAAATATGTATCAAACAATGGTAAATTGTCAGCTTACAAACAATATATGCCTATCCCCTTAATTTTACACTGTTCACCAAATTATCAACACAAAAAGGATTTCTCAAACACTAAATTATGAGAGACAAAAAAAATTAAATGAAGAAGTACACTGTTGACCTTGAAAACTCCTAGAAACCTACTCAAAGGAAATAATCAGATAAATATGCCAAGTTGTACACGCAAGGTTTTTCTTCCTAGCCTTATTTATAATAAAAAATTGGAAAGTATTCAAATGCCTAACAATAGATGATTAAATAAATATGGTGCAGTCGTATAATGGATTACTATAACAACTAAAAATGATGGCAGCCATCTACCTACTCCGACAAAGGATATTTATTAGGTATTGTTATGTGAAAAAAGCAGGCAACTGGAGTATACTCAGTATATTTTCAAAAATTAAATACATATGTATCTGTTTAGATGAGAAAAAGCCTGGAGGAATATATACCAAATGATGCCCCTGGGTAGTGGGGTTTCAAGAAATTCTGAGGTTTAGCTTTTACTTTTTACTTACCTCATTAACCTTATTTTAAAAACCAATGATCACGTATTGTTTATATGTTTAAAATATGTAATTTTTAAAGGAAATTAAACCACATTTTTGCATAGCAGAGAAATAAAGCCAAGATAGTGGAATTATAATTAGATCTAAGTAAAGCAGAATAAATGAATTCAGTCTATTAGACTGTTTATGAAGCAAAGTAATTCTCTCCTTTTCACGCAACCCCCCCAGGCCTTCTATCCTCTCCTTAACTCTCATCCTCACACAGCTCCCAGTTTCCTCCCCAATGACCCATCCTCACATCCCCAAATTCCCTCCCAACCCTGCCCAATGCGTCCTGTGGAACCTTGCTTCAGTGTAAACAAACCCCCTACAGGCTCATGCTGATCACAGAAAGTTTTCTCTGCAGTCTGATTTAAATAAGAAAAAATACTCTTCTGTATTCTTCTTAGAACAGAATATTCTTCTATAGCTTACGAACGTATCTTCTAAGCCTTCTCTTAGCTTTCTACCGTTCCTTTTCTAAAACATGGCCTTTTGCTCAGATAAAAATCCATCTTCTATTGCTCCTTGGCACTTACCATATACACACATCCTGACCAATCGCTCTCCCACATTCACTGATGACTTTGGCACCTGGCTGAGAGCCATCTTCTCCACCTCTTCAATGTTCACATAAGATCACTCATCCAAAAACTGTCCAAGTTCTCTGACCACCTCAACAACCTCCCCCCTTCCTCCATTTTAACACCTTATTCCCAAGCCTGTTGGACCTTGCCACAATCCAGAACTGGTCCACATCTGAAATCTCAACTGTCAACTTCCCACTCTTGGGCTTAACCTTCTCCTCACCTCTGTCCTTTTCCAGCTCAGGCCTTCTGCTATCAGGCCCAATGTCCCAAGCTCTTTCCTTTCCCTGTTGGGTGTTTGGATGGACCACAAGCCCTCCAGTGAAGCAACTGGCACCATAGTCACTGATGTCACCTTCTCTCCCTCCTTCAGGGAGGCCTACACTGCCAATCTCACCACTCTAGTACCAATGCCTTCTCCTTTATTTACTAAAACGAAGAGCATTTCTGCATGCCAGGCCTTATGTTAGGTATGGAGGTGTGTGCCTTTCAGGAATCCCCTCTGCACCCTGGCTTCAGCCAAGCCCTCAGTTGCTGAGAGTGAAAAGGCAACTTCTGTGGACACGCTGAAGGCACTACTTGACTCTTGTGAGTAAGCTACACTGGATATTACTGCTTCATTTCATCAATATGTTATCTATGACACCCTTTATTTAACTTCTTGACATATTAACCCATTTATTCAGTAGTTATCCCAATCTGAGGACATCTCAAAAAAAAACCTTCTGAAAGGATGATATACCAAAATGTTAAAAATGGTTATCTTGGGATGGTAGAGTATCAGGCAGTTCTAGTTTTTTTTCCTTTTTGTCAATCTGTGTTTTCTAATCTCCAATGAAAGTGTATTTCTGTTTTAAAAAAGTTCATTAAAAAAAATCTTTACGGGCTGGCCCAGTGGCGCAGCAGTTAAGTTCACATGTTCCGCCTCAGCAGCCCGGGGGTCATCGGTTCAGATCCCGGGTGTGGACCTTGGCAAGCCATGCTGTGGCTGGCGTCCCACATATAAAATAGAGAAAGATGGGCACGGATATTAGCTAAGGGCCAGTCTTCCTCAGCAAAAAGAGGAGGATTGGTGGCAGATGTTAGCTCAGGGCTAATCTTCCTCAAAAGGAAAAAAAATAGAGGAAGATTGGCAACAGATGTTAGCTCAGGACCAATCTTCCTCACCAAAAAAAAAAAAAAAAAAAAACTTCAAAAAGTCCCTAATTGCCAAATCCAACAGGTACATCCCAGTCCCTATTTCTCAGGATCCTTCTGCAGTATGACTTACTCCCTCAGCTTATTTCTCTCTCAGCCTCATGACACTATTTTCCTGATTCTCTTCCTATTCTTGGACTGCTTATTTTTCAATCTCCTTCCTGTGCTCATTTTTCTTGAACTACCCTTTAAACATTGGTGTTCTCCAGGATTCTGTTCTTGTACTTTTATTTTTCTCATCTAAACACTGTGTCTCCCTAAATGATCTCTTCTAAACCCATGATTTCTACTAACACCTATCTGGACCAACACCTTGACTCTCTGTCGCAATCTCTTCCCATACACTAGTAATGTATACAGCAAATCACCTGCTAGACACTTTCTCTGGGTGCCCCGTAGGGATCTCAAAATCATCACGTCTAAACAGAATCATAATTGTACCCTCCCCTCAATCAGTTCTTTCTTTTGTATTCCTCATCTTATCAAGAGTCATTCTAGGTGCCTCTTTCTTCCCATTTGTCCCTAACTTACCTTTAAGTTTTATTGATTATACCACATAATATGTTCACTTACCTAAGACAGCAAAGTATGCACAAGATGAAATTAATATCAAATTTTTTATTAGTACTCCATTAATCCAAAAGCTATATACTTTCATTTTGGAAAGGTAAAACACAAGAGGACTATCTATAATTTGAAAAATAGATATAAAATATTTTAGACACTGTAATCAATGCTTGGCAGAACTACTTTTACCTTCAACATTAAAGCAAGCTATCGGGTTTTTTTTTCCCCCTGAATTATTTTTAAATATAAAATTAATGAGCTTAGAATTTTCCAAGTGATTTAAGGCATATGTACATAAATGCATACCATGAACAAAAGGAACCTCCCGCAGTGTGGAGTCTGAATAATAAAATATTCTGGTTAGTGGAGGGCTATCAACATCACACTAATTATCAATTTCCAAAATAATTAGAATAAAAACCACGACAAACTGGATGAAAAATTTGATACTTCGTTATGTTTCTCAGGATCACTATGGACACCAACTATTACTCTGACTCATCAAGGTGTACTGGTCACATTTAATGGAGATTTAATAATAGAAGGCTGGACATCAGCATTCAAATACTTGAGAGTAGACTGCTTTGTGTTGCATTAATCTGTTATTTTGACAGTGCCTAAAATACTACATGTTTCACTTCTTCTCTCTATTCAACAGTTGCCACTATCTGATAAGGTCTCAAACAGCTAATATTCACCTTTCTGAAAAAGGTTCCACCTAAAGGAAATTTTTAAAAGGAGATACTATGCTTTCTCAAAAAAACGCCATCTAGGTTCCAGATACTTACTATGGTGGAAACATCACAGGGCAAAGAAGCAAGAAAAAAAAGGAGAGGAGGAAGATTGGTAAGCTGTGAGTCAAAAGACTCTAAAGATGTAAGGACAGCACCCATTCTCCTCTGGGCACCCAGCCCACCAAAGGGGATTCCTAGCAGGCAGACTTCCACTCTGTGATCCTGTCCCCAGTCACATATGGTCAGACCGGGCTGGGAAATATGAATCAAGATGAACACTCTTTTGTCAAGAATTTAGAAAAGAAAAGAGGAGAGAAAGAAAGGGAAAAAGAGAGAGACGTGCACTGACTGTGTATGACTGGAACTGGAACATGTCAAAGAGCAGCTGTGGGCACCAACTTCTGCCATGTGGGCTGAGGATCAGAGAAAGCCAGTTAACTGAGAGAGAAGAATAAAGCCAAGATGAGAGAACAGGGAGTGCTCCCTAACGCCTTCATTTTTCCAGGTCCCAGGCCCAGTTCTACTCCTGCCCTTGGGTTCTGAGAGAAATCCTTACGTTCTTAGAATAAATTCCCCCTTTTTACTACTTTAGGTGGGTTTTTCTCATGTATAACTAAGGTCTAAACTAATACACAGTTTTAGAACAGAAATAGCTATACTTCGAGTAAGTTACTCAAACTTTCCTTGGTCTTATCTCTGAATCTGTAAAATGAGAGCACTCAACATGATGATCTCTAAAAATTTTTACTCATAAAATTCTCATTTATTCTCCTACGTTTTAGATGATTTTACACATGTGTAATGCACTTATATAGCTATGCAAAGTAAATAAGCTATAGCTATCTTTCAAGACTTAGCAAAGTTTATCTGATCTAGATTGACTTCTAAAACTTATCTGTGATAGCTGGGACATATGCAGTAACTTCTTTTCCACATGAAAAAGCTCGGTGCACCTACCAATAAGACTAACTGCCTAAGAGCGGCAGCAGTTATTTTACATTTTTATGGGAACCACATATATAAGTAGAAATGATAAAATACTCAGTGGTTAACTGACCAACACGATACAGTCTCTAAATGGAAGGTGTGGAGTCAGATGCCTACCTTTGAACCCTGGTCTTATCT